CACACCTGGGATCCATGAACCATCATGGGGAACACCTGGGACAAATTAAACATGGGAAAGGAACACCTGGGGAGCAAGACACAGACAAAACATGGAACAGAGTCTGACAGTTACTAATGACACATCGTTTGGATATTTTCATGTCTGGGAAAAATTTGGGATTAAACGGGTTAAAATGCGTTTTAAACATAAAGTTAAGTGGTTTTCATTACCTTCTTACTCTTAGTAATTTAATAATTTTATAATTTAATAAATTTCATAATTTAAAAGTTTAGTGCAGAAGTATCGAATCGGTATCGATATCGACGATACTGCCTTGAAAAATATCGGTATCGTATCGAAAACAAAATAAGGGGTATAGCCCATCCCTAGCGGGGAGTGTCAGCTCATTTGCATTTAAAGAGACAGGCCCGTTTCTGCTTCCACTCAAAATAGGCATTTTCAAAATGATATAATAAATAATATTTTTGAGTATTTTGAGCTGAAACTTCACAGACACATTCTGGTGACACCAGAGACTTATATTACATATTGTAAAAAGGGGCATAATATGTCTCCTTTAACATAACGCATTTGAGATTTGCTATATAGTACATACTTAATGTAAGTGTAATGTATGTGTCTGGGATATGCTTATAGTAGTTGTATAATTTGTTATGTGTGTTATAAGTTAATTTGTTATGTGGTGTGTGGTTGTTTGGATATGTAAGGGATAATGTACATCCAGCCGGTTGTTATCGCAGAACGAAGCGGAGGGGTCTTGTATCACCCTGAAGGGGGCAAGTTCAAACTAGACGGACATTTAAGGGATACGGTGCAGTCAAACCACTTATTACACAACATTTCACCACATAAATAATTATGGTGATAAAAGATTTAAGACAAAAATGTTTTAAAATCTTACCAGTTTGTTAGTTATCTTATAATCCATTACAGTGTGCAAAACAATCGTCGCAAAATGGCAACAGCTGCGCTTGTATGAAACGAGAGAGCGAGTCCGCGATACCAGGATGACATAATTAAATAATTGTACACAATTTTGAATCGAGTTTTAATATTTTATTAGCTAAACAAACGATATTATTATAAGCAATATTTATGTATTTATTTACTTCAAAATACTAGTTAAATACTACTTAAAATACTATTTGTGGAGTTATAAAAGACAACAATATCAAATTATTTATAGTAATATGTATGTATTTTGTATAGGATATTTAATAATAATATATTTAATAAATAATAATAATTATTATTATTATTCAGAATAATTTACCATTTAAAATAAATTATTGTTATTATTATTCATAATTTTTTGTCTATTTTTTCTCTAAACCTTTTCTGTCAGCTCTTGTGGCCCCCTTGTGGCTTCAGGGCCCCAGTTTAAAAACCTTTCGGTATAGTACACACTATATATAATGAGAATATTTACAGGCAGTCTAAACTCTTACCCCTCTGCAGCTGCTGCTCCGGGATCGGCTGGATCCGCTGGTTTGGCTTCTGGTTTAGGGGACTCTGGAGCAGGAGCAGGAGCAGGTGCAGGAGCTGGTTCTTAAGAAGCACAGGTCAGAATTAGATGTTTTGGGATAATATGATTTGCTCATTTCTGTATTAGCACATAATTAAAGACAAACTGTGCACAGAAAAAAAAATCTCTAATTATTAACAGCCTATGTGCATGGAGATCTTAACACTGTTTTATGTTTTAATAGGTTAGGCTTCAGCTTCTCCTGACATGCTGCTAATTAATAAAGTACTTGAGCAAGGGGTCCATTATGCCTTTTCATCTAACCCTTTAAAAATGAGAATGTCTCCAGGATTCCAGATGAAAACATCAATCGTACTTTAAAAAATGTACACAGAGAATTGCAGTTTCCCTTAATGAAACATCATCTCATGAAGTGAAGATGGATGAAGACTCACCGGTGGGCTTTTCCTCCTTTTTCTCTTCTTCTTTTTCTTCATCTTTCTTTGCATCTGCCTTTTCCTCCTGTTAACACCGAACATGTTTTTCTTTCTTTCTTTATCACAACACATTTCCAGTTTATAGCAGTGATGTTTGAACGAATGAGAGGTGTGTCTTTAACTGTTTTACACTCAGTGAAAACCTGCATCAGCTGACAAGGAGTAAGACGTGCAAATGCAAATTGTTTTATTTGTGAGCATCAGGGATATCATCTTTAACTATAACCATAAAACATTTACTAGAATCAAGTATTCCACAGAGCTGTGTAATAATAAGAATTATGAACTCTAGACTGGTTTAGATATGTGAACATAGAGAGTATTTAGCTAAAGCTTTGCAGATTTTTCACAGCTACAGCAAACAACAAATCTCACGGCCAAGACTTGATCTGATTTCAGAGGAAGTTCAGCAGCTGAACTCAGACGACACCTCATACAGTCACCACATGCTCAGCACTAGACAGTGTAAACCTGTACCTCATCTATTTATAATCATTTTAATCAGTGCAACTCTGCCTTTGTGTCAAATCATGGCTTTACATGGCTGCACAACTGTTGAGTTAAGATAAGGACTGTCCTGAAACACTCACATTTGTTCCTCTTTTCCAGCGGGTGCTGTCTTGTTTACTGTTTATCAGCTAAAATGGGCCCATGTAGTGAATTTAGTACTCAATTTAGTCTTACAGCAGACGTTAGTATCATTGCATTCAGCACATATAAGAATTGTGACTGGAAAATGATGACTGCCTAGCATGGTTTGCTGAAATCAGTATAGAGTTAGCTTTATATTGACACAAAGAAAAATATAACACAGGAAATAGAAACTCCTGTTCACACGTGAGGACGTTCTCGTGATCTTCTTAAATCACAAATACAGCAGATCCCCTAATCTACTTTCAGCTACTTTTGGAGTCACACGCTGCACATCGTTGAGTGGAAGATGACAGCAAAGATCTGCTCCATACAAACCAACAATGACATGAATGGCTAAAGTCACTATAATTGACCTATTTAAACTTTCTGCTGCCAAGGACCTGCAAATATGATGATCCCCTTACAAAGTACCCATTCCTAAAATATAAAAAGCGGATTTGCATTTATAGTGTGTATAAAGAAAATACTAAGTGTGATGTTATAAAGACAAAAATATCAAATTTGGTAAATGTTAATATTAATTTTTTTTTATAATCAATATGTATTTATTTATGTCTACTGAAATAAATACATATATTGCGTTATTATTAGTGCTGTCAAACGATTAATCGTGATTAATCGCATGTTTACATAATATATGTATGTGTACTGTGTATATTTATTATGTATATATAAATACACACACATACAGTATATATTTTGAAAATATTTACATGTGTATACATTAATATATTTATATTCTTATATTTTATATTATATATAAATATATTTAATACATAAACATAACATATTTTTCTTAAATATATACATGCATGTGTTTGTGTGTGTGTGTATATATATATATATATATATAGTGATGTTTGAACGAATGAGAGGTGTGTCTTTAACTGTTTTACACTCAGTGAAAACCTGCATCAGCTGACAAGGAGTAAGACGTGCAAATGCAAATTGTTTTATTTGTGAGCATCAGGGATATCATCTTTAACTATAACCATAAAACATTTACTTGAAAACATTTACTCGTTACTTGAAATAAAAGACCAAAACAAACAAACAAAAAAAACTTATGTCAGCTAGTTGCAACAACAACAGTTCTAATTTGTGTTTGCTTTAAGAGCTAAAACAACTAAAACAACAAAAAAATAAAACTAAGAAAAAAAAAACACGAAAAATAACAAAATGACTAAAACTTTAAAATTCTTAAATATATACATGCATGTGTTTGTGTGTATTTATATATACACAATAAATATACACAGTATACACACATATACTATGAAAACAAAACCTTTTATTTTGGATGCGATTAATCGTTTGACAGCACTAGAAAAAAAATGATGTTGTCAGTCACTGAGGGTTTTTGAACACACTCACATGATGGCAGAGGCTTAACTGCATTGGGTTTGCTGAAAATTTTGGAGACAAACGGAGTGTTGCTGTTATCCACTTTCTCCTTGAACTTGAGCTGTGGCCGCTGAATGTTTTTAGCATGTAGAAGGTGAAAGGTCTCCTCCCTGCGCTCTCCTCCCTGCAAGGAGAAGAAAAGCTGCCATCATGCCAGAACCGGCTCCTCAATGACCAGCCAGACTTTATCAAAACATGTGATCAAGTTAAACTAATCTCTCTCCAACAAGGATGAGCTGAGAAACTAACCCTGCGATTCCAGCTGGACACGACGATCTTTGGCGGCTGATATCCTGCAGGCATCACCGGCTGCTGTGTGCGACTCACACCAGAGGCCTCGTCCCGGATCATCTTTAACTATAACCATAAAACATTTACTTGAAAACATTTACTCGTTACTTGAAATAAAAGACCAAAACAAACAAACAAAAAAAACTTATGTCAGCTAGTTGCAACAACAACAGTTCTAATTTGTGTTTGCTTTAAGAGCTAAAACAACTAAAACAACAAAAAAATAAAACTAAGAAAAAAAAAACACGAAAAATAACAAAATGACTAAAACTTTAAAATTAAAGTGAAAACAGAAAATATATTTTAAAAATAGTAGTATATCAATAATACTAAAATAACACTGGTGGGCATTTCTACAGAAATGTCAGTAGCCTGATGCTGACATACAGTAATGTTTTTATATATTAACAATATATAGAGCATTAATACATGTAAACATAATTTGATTACTCAAATACCATATACTATAACGTAATATATTATTTATATTTATTTAATTATCAATAGTTATTTAGGGCATCAGACGATGGATATTATGTAATAAATTATAGTTGACTCATTTCTTTTACTTTTTGTCTAATTATTATGCATTTAGTGTTTTAGTGTTTAATTATTTGTCTTACTAGAAGACTAACTATATGAACTGAAAAAAGTTGATATACACACACACACATATATATATGAAGATGCAAATGGACATTTAATTATATTGATTATTTGTCAATTTCCTGCATGCACATTTATTATACTTTTAAACGTTCAATATATATTTTAGACTAATTTAAAAAGAAGTACTAGAGACGATTTCCCTTTTAAAGTGTAATTATGTCCCAGTCTCTAAGAAATTACTTGCTCTTTTAACATGTATAAATGTCTATGGATCCTTCCATTCCCACATAAATGTCAAAAATATTATTAGAACTTATTAGCTATTATTAGCTTTTTAAATTCCCATAGTTTATTCAAATAGCTTATCCTTTGAGCTGCCTTTTCAGTAAACCAAGATACATTTATTTGTTAAAATTGCTATCCCTTCTTTATTTTTTAAAGAAACACATTTCTCTGACATTGAAGTCAGTTGTATGGTGTGGGATGAATCTGGTGCTGTGTTGTGCTAAAGCCAGGTGCTTGTACCTTTGTTGGAGGAGCAGGTGCTGGGGCAGGTGCAGGTGAAGGTGAAGGCACTGGTGTCGGTGATCCAGGGCTCTGAGCGACTGCCGCCACAGTTTTGGGCCGAAAAAGCGTTTTCAAGGTGCTGAACATGGCTGCACTGGCTCGAGCAGGCACGCGATCCCATCCAGATTTATCTCTCCACTCTCCTTATCCACCTGTCGCTGATGTGTGAACTCCGACCTGCTTCAATTCATTCTTAGAGCTCTATTAATTCCCTCTTAGGAATGGCCCTTTTCCCAGGGTTCACCACAGTTTGACTGACCTATCACTGGCCTTCTCACTTACAGTCAAACAATCACAATCCTTCTATTAAAATGACATTATAGGGTGAGCTGCAAAGGGCCGTTTCTATTTGTAAAGTCAAATATGCACTGCTTTTTGACAGATATGAGAGATATTTGCTGCATTATTGGCTCACATTGGATTACTCAAAGTGTGCCAGACAGCACTTTAATAGTGCATTCGTGGGCTATTCTGGAGCTGCCAGCTATTCCTGCACTGTTTGTGCTGTTGGTCCACATTTAGAAAGACCACTTAGTTAATTAAAACTCTCAATGTCCCTGCCAGACTAAAGAGATTAACTGTGAGATCCCATGGCAGACTGACTCAACTACCAGTCCTTAGCTAACTGAGAGCATGAAGGCTGTGTAAACTCTCAAGTATAAATAAAACACAAATGATGTTCACTGTACTACGCAATTACAAAATATGTCTTTTATTTAAGTCGCAGTACAAAATAAATCTACAAACATACTGTTTTGGAAGGAATTGAAACAAATTTCAATCAAATAATTCATGTATTACAATTAGTAATACGATTCACTAATTGGCAAGTACTGAAGTTAGCAGGGAAAGAAGCTCGTTTATTTTTTTTTAAATACATTTAAAATACGTAGGTTATTTTAAAAGGAATGAAATCTTCACAGAGAAATATTTAATGTATTTCATGTGATTATTGTTCTGAAGTAGCAGCAGTCTAGAAAAGAAAAATATAAATAAAAATGTACTCTTTTTGAGCCAGCTTTTTTGTAATTGTATAATATTGTATTATACATCTAAAGTTCAATGTTTTATTCAATATACAGTACCATTAAAACGTTTGGGGTCGGTAAGTTTTTTTTTTTTTTTTCATGTTGTTGAAAAGAAATCTCTTATACAGTAAAATTTTTTTAATGTTTTTGAAAAGAAATCTCTTATACAGTAAAAGTAAAGAATAATATTGTGAAATATAATTTTTTAATATTTTAATACAATTTAATTTTTTTTTTCTATTTTATTTATTTTAAAATGTAATTCATTCTTGTAATGCAAAGCTGAATTTTCAGCATAATTACTCCAGTCTTCAGTGTCACATGATTCTTGAGAAATCATTCTAATATGTTGTTTTGCTGCACAAGAAACCTTTATTATTATTATTATTATTATTATTATCAATGTTTAAAACAGTTTTGCTGCTTAATATCATAGAGGAAACCATGATACATATTTTAATGTTCTTTGTTAAATCAAATGTTCAAGTGAACAGCATTTGTTTGAAATAGAAATCTTTTGTAACAATATAAATGTTTTTACTGTCACACTGAAAAAAAAGCATTAATTCTTTTCAAAATCAATAACAACAAAAAATGTGCTGGCCCCAAAATTTTAAACGGTACTGTATATTTTAGTATATAATAGAATTCCTTACCTTAAGTCTGTCCATAAAGCCTTTTTTGGTGAACACTCCTCCTGCAAAGGCACGCAAAAGTTTGGGAGTGGGAGGTTTTTGTCCGAACATAGCCAGTCCTTTCTTCTTTTCCTCGTCGCCTTTAGCAGCAGGAGGTGGACCCTTGGCTTTCAGCAGTTTCCTGTGAAACGGTGTTAACCAGTATTTTCCAGATTTCACTATTGTAGGTTTGTGAGAAGTAGGGCTCAAGACCATACGTACAGTTGGTGATGATTCAAATAAATCAGTGAATTGGTTAGTGAATACGTTAATTGAAAGAACCATCTGAACACATCAGTTCGCTAAAACGAAACAGTTTCCTAATCAGTATTTTCGCCTTCTTATCCAATAAAATTGTTTAAAACGAGAAATTGACTTCAAAAGCTGAGTGAGTAAAAATTAGGACTTACGGTAGGTTTATTTTATTACCCCATTAGAAATTATATATTTTTTCTTGTTTTTTAAAGCAAAAATCTAACACAGTTAAGTGAGTTCATAGTGCCTTCCCAAGTCTTCTTGTGATATTTAGATAATTTATTGGGAAACAAAAAATTATTATTTTTTTCCCTCACTGCTCACTGTGGGTGCATCTATATGAACGGCTGACTGAAAGAATCATGTGACATAACTCACCGTCCCTTCCTGGCCAGCACTTTCTGAGACTCTGGGTAGTGAATCAGGATGTCATTGAGGTCTTTCTTATCCAGTACGAAGAGGTTGGCGAACCCATGTGCCGCTACATTAGCGGTTCTTCTGTTTCCTCCATTGGCTGAAGACTGTAGCAAACTGGGGTCGATTATAAACACGAGTTCATTCACGACGTGTAGTTCTAAAGGCAGATTCTCATTTCGATAGCTCACCTGATCTCTCCGAACACACAGCCTGCCTTCAGAGTCACGAACACAATCTTATTGTCCGGCCCACCGATGACCTGCACCTCTCCGGCCTTAATGATGTACATTTCCTTTCCAATGTCACCCTGCAGAGAAACAGAAGAGTGAAGACTTGATGTGCTTGGTGTCTATAAATAAAAGGCAGTATAACTCACCTTCTTGCACACAAAGTCTCCAGGCAAGTACACAATGGACTTTAGCCTCAATAACATGTCCACAAGCATCTGGTTGTCACAACCCTGTGATAAAAAAACACAGAAACATCAAGCAACTGAACATGTCGCAATCTGTTTCCTTCCTTAAATCAAGCCCACCTTAAAGAGGTCGATCTTTTGGAAAGTAGCAAGGTTGATGTCCACAGCGATGGCTGTTCTCATCACCAGAGGCATCTGTTCCAGAAGCTCAGACTCATCTGAGGAGAAGCCAAACCTTAGTTGGCAGGACCCTGCTATTCATTACCAGTCGTTATTTACATGTAAATGTAGATTTTACCCAGCATGCCCTGGGAGTCCCAGGTGTAGTTGTACCAGGTGCGCACTCTGCTTTGAACCAGCTTGGGAATGCGGTTTGTCACCATGTACGCCACACAAGCATCCATAGATGCACGGAAGTACGTCTGGCCGGCAGTAGCTGCTCCAATGACATCTCTCATCTGTAAAATCAAAGATTTACATCTATATATCTGATATGGATGCACCATTATGATGATTCTGGCTGATACTGAAAAACTGGTAATATTTTCAAGTTAAAGTCAATAAATGATAAATGGCCAATGTTAAAATTCTATACTTTTTAAATTACATTTTTTTTTTTTAATACTAAAAACTAAAATTAACACAATGTTCTATACGAAAATTTATTTTGAGATTTATTAAAGATACCATAGTTAGTTTATTGTTACTTTCATTCATTCATTTAACCATTATTAAAATTATGGCCAATATTGATAAATCAATAATTATTTTCATGTCGTGGCCCATAACTGATAAATGGCCAAAACTAAAATTGTATACTATTTTGTCTAAATAAATTTAAAATAAAACACTAAAAAATGAAATTGACTACAAGTCAGTTTAGGCATCACTATATTATAATGTACAGCATGAAAAATGGCTATTTATTATGGGACTTATTAAAGATACATTTAACAGTGTTGTAAAATTACTCTTTTTTTTGCACCAATATCAAAATTATACCCAATACTGATAAACCAATAATTATTTTTATGTTATGGCTGATAACTGACAAATGGCCGATATTACTATTTGATGACCTTTAGATGACAGCAAAGGTAATTAACATGTAAAAATAGCATAAATGAGCCTACACAATGAATAAATAAATGAAAATAATCCTATTGTCACGTTCTGTGTTTGTCTTTTGATCAGCTATCTAGTTTGTTCCATAGTTCATGCGCTCCTTTGTTCCTTGCTCGTTTTGTTTCCATGGTTACTAATTGATTGAGTACTCTGTTCAGGTGCTGCTTGTTTAGTTCTTATTTGCGTGCTCTGTTTAAGTCCTCAGTTTCTCCCCAGTCTTCGTCTGGTATTGAAGGTCTTAGTTTGATTGTAGAGTCCAAGTCTTTCTCCTGGGTTTATGTTAGTGGCTTTAAATAAAGTACCTGTGATTTATGCCTCTTCTTCATCGAGCGCCTATCTCTACACGAACTCTCTGACACTTATAAATTATCTCATTATAATCTGTAGTAAAGAAGTGACTCATCCTATATTCTTAAACAACAGGAGCACAATCACAATAAATCTACATGGTTCCTGACAGGAGAACTGGATGAGGACTATGATACGATTGGCTGCCTGGGACTAGGGGGAGGAGCTCATGATGTTTACATCATTACATGTACCTGTCCAATCAAACTTGAGAAGACAAAGACACCAACAAAAAAGTTTGTTAACTGAAAGGTGATTTCAAAGACTGTGTGAGGCTCAGGCAGACCACCGATGTTGATCAGAGTCCGCACAGCAAAATAGTAACTGCGCAAGTACCTGGGAAAGAGATAAAACTCAGTATATGTAAGGAATAAAAACATCTTGCATTCATATCTGAGTCCTTATTAAAGATTCAATCATATGTGACCATGGACAACAAAACCAGTCATAAGGGTCAATTTTTTGAAATTGAGATTTATACATCATCTGAAAGCTGAATAAATAAGCTTTCCATTGATGTATGGTTTGTTAGGTTAGGACAATATTTGGCCGAGATACAACTATTTGAAAATCTGCAATCTGAGGGTGCAAAAAAATCCAACTTAAGTCCTTAACAACACATATTACTAATCAAAAATTAAGTTTTGATGTAGGAAATTTCATGGAACATGATCTTTACTTAATATCCTAATTATTTTTGGCATAAAAGAAAAATGGATAATTTTGACCCATATAATGTGTTGTTGGCTATTGACATACCTGTGCGACTTACGACTGGTTTTGTGGTCCAGGGTCACATATTACAGTGTCAAAACAGCAGACATCGAACCACTGAGCAAAGCCATGGCCAAGCAAGAAAGCCAAGTGAAAAAAATCAAAACTGAACCAAAAAAACCACCAAGCGCTTCAGGAGCATAAGCTTTACAGACAAAAGCTTTGGAGACAAAACGTCTACCTGGCCGAGAATGATGGACAAAAATAGAGCACCAAAAAAATAGTTGGTCATCTGAAAGATCTGACCGAACATGGTCTCAGGGAAAGGAAGTTCTGCGATCATCAGGAGGGATTTCTCCGCATAGAAGAAACACCTCAGGTAGCTATGAGAATATGAAAAAAAAACAAAACAAAACCTGCAATTACTGCAAACCAATTTAGTTTTTTTGTTGTTGTTAAACTTGAACTGTGAATGGAAGAGAAACAAAAATAACATTACATGAGCATTTCAATTACTGTTTTGTGCTGCCAGTGGTGCAGAAGTTATATACTTTACCTTTACAAAAAGAATCAATAAAGTGATTCTGAAAGTTAGATGAAATTACTTAC